TGGAAATTGAATACCATTGTTTGATCATCTATGATATCTCTTTGGTTCACCGCATTTGTTGTTCTTACTTGATGCACTTTAGTGTAATAACTGTCCCAGAAAGTTGGGAAGGAAGATTCTGAATTACTATATTTTTGAGGTAGCGTCTGCTTCCCCCTTCCCATATAGGTAACCATCAATTAGTATTAGAGCCTGTTTGGTGACGATTCTGAAGAGGGCTGCCCATGAAAGGTTCTAACTAGTAGGAGGCCGAGTTAAGAGTTATGGACTATGGAGTGTAGCTGTTGGGATGTTGGCTTTCCATGGGGGGCTAATTGAAGGACTTGGTAGTATGAGATGCCAAGTCCTACATTGAGTAGCATGAAATGCTCATTGGAGAATTAAAGTAGGTTGGGTCTCCCACATCAATAGCTAGGTTTTGGGGTAGGTTTCCCAATCTCACTTAGTACCCACCAAATAAAGGGACCTGATCAAGGAAATAGTTGAAAAGTACAGAAATGTAGCAGTGGAATTAAATGAGGGGAAAATTCTAAGGTTTTGATATTAATTTATCAAGAAGAACCGAATCAGTATTAAAAAAACTCACTAGTTCTGACCAAAACCCATCTCCCCTTAATAATCACTTCAGAACAATTCAGCAACAAAACAGGACTCAAACACACTTGCAGCAGTTCACACACCCTCTGGCATTCAAGAGGCTAGTTCTCCTCCACTTCACCCACCATGAGACTACTAATTCTCACGATGTGGTCCTAACACAGCCCATACTTCCAATTAGACTTCTAATCACATCACTGAATCATGGCTTACTGTTCCTTATGGCTAGGCTGTGAAGAATAAATATCTGTACCAATCATAGCGTTCCCCATTAAGCTACCCTTCTTCTCTAACCTCCTCTTATAGGTGAAATCATGAGATTTATCACTATACAAGTGTGTTATTTATTTATTTATTTATTTTTTTCGTTATTTACTTTGTGTTGTACATTGGATATTATAACCTTTTATAAACTTTGAGTTGGTAGTCTTATAGTTCTAGTTTCTATGAAAATGTACTGTTTATATTGAAGTTGTTAAGGAAGTACTGAATTCCACTATCAATGGAGAAACGATTTACTCGTGGTGTAATCATATTTTTAAATAACTCTGGCAAATATCTTTAGTAATCGTATTTTCATTTCTTCTTATGTGACATTTGACTTATGTAAATTTGATATTTCTGGGATTTGTAGGCTATGGAGGCAACCAAGGCTGATTGGGATACCCTTTTTGAGCCTTATCCCTTTTTTGAAGCTTACAAGAATTATCTACAAATTGACATTAGTGCAGAGAATGCTGATGATCTTAGAAAATGGAAAGGTTGGGTTGAGTCTCGCCTTCGTCAGTTGACACTAAAGGTGAAACACTTTATGTAACTTTTGTATGCTTGTTATTTCTTGTTATGTTACCATTTTGGTAGTGATTTGGTAGTATAGGATGCTTAAGTCTTGCATTGAGTAATATGAAATGCTTGCTTTGGTCCTTAATGTGAATGATTCTTCCCCCTTGATAGCATGCTTTTAGGGTCGGTTCCTCATGCATGCTCAGGTTTCATCATTTGGTATTATAGCTGGTTGACCAATGATGCAAAGAGGGCTCCTTGCAGAGGATTCTGACCAGTTAGAAGGCCAAGTGTAGTGTTGCAGGGTGTAACCATAGAGATGTTGCCTCTTTCGGGCTCTATGAAACTTTTAAGTCCTACATAGAGTATTAGGGGATGCTTGATATAACACTTAAAAGTGTATGGTTCTTCCACCTTGACAGCATGCTTTTAAGGGTGGGTTCCACGCACATCTCTAGATCCTATCATATTCTCTCTTACCTCTTTTTTACATGCTTTTTTTTTTAATTTATTTATTGGGATGTGGAGATAACTTTATTTCTTTGTTCATACATGACCTACTTTGGTTGTCTCTTAAAAAAAAAAAAAAAAAAAAACTAGATTGAGAGGCACACATGTGGGATGCTTCAGTGCCATCCGCATCCTGGTGATTTTCCAGACAAATCCAGACCTTTCCACCGTAGTTACTTCATGGGTCTGCAACGTAAGCAAGGAGTTCCAGTTAATGAGGGTGAACAATTTGATATAAGGTTAACTGTTAAAGAATTTAAGCACTCTGTCAACGTGTACAATTTATGGGAACCTGGAATGGAAATTCATGTATCGCATGTGAAGCGTAGGACTTTACCTACCTTTGTATTTCCTGGTGGTGTTCGCCCTTCCCGCCCAACTAAAGTAACTTGGGATAGCAAGCAGAGTTCAGAATTGAAGGTCTCTGGCCAGAGTCAGGAAAAATTTCATGAAGGTAGGGCAGTTGCATGCGAAACAGATGATGAAAAGAAGAGAAAGCGAGCAGACAGTGAGTTGGATGATAACTTGAGAATTTCCAAATCCGTGGCATCTTTACCTTCTTCCAGTAGGGAACTTCATGATGATAGAACTATTAGCGCTGCCAGTTCTTGTTCTATAAAACAGGCTGACTCAGAAGCCAATGTTATTGAGGGACAAAATGGTGAGAAATCTGATTTGAATTTTCCAGAGGAGATATCGTCTGAGAAGAGTGAGATTAATGGTTCAGGAAGAGGCTATGTACAAGTCAACCCAATACATGCTGCTTCTGATATGTCAAATTCTAAAGAAGCAGAAAAGCTGTCAATTGAGAAGATTATGTCTGGTCCATATGATGCACACCAAGCCTTTTCAGAAGAACCAGATGAGCTTGAAGATGATATTGAGTATACAAATCAAGTGAAGGGGAATGGGGGAGACAGGAAAAGCAGCTTAGACTCTTTAAACTTGAAGGCTATAGTGGCAACTGAACCAGTTATTTCAAGCGAGGAAATGATTCGTTCGGCTCATTTACGCTCTGGTGGGGGCTTGGACGAACTTGAGGTTAACCTCTTATTTCCTTGGCTTGAAAATATTGGAATTTTCAGTGGATGTTAATCGTTCTCTTCTCATCTGTTGCAATTGTCTTAAAACCTGTGTCAAATCAAAGTATAAGCTATGATATTGTTAAAATTGCTCAGCTTCAGTTAGTCCCTGTTTTATGTAATGGCTGCTTGAATGCTTGACGGTTTTGTTCTGCTTATCCTTAATATTCTTTATAGAATTTGATGGCATAATGTCCTCCAAACAAAAAGCGATAAATTTTGATATGGTGTTAATGAAGTATAATTATATCATGAGGTTTTCTTATTAAAATCGATTGTTTTGTATATGCTATGAGATGACAATTTAGTTTGGAATTTGCATTTATTCCTGTAACCTGCTGGATTATGTTTCTCTTGTTTTGCTTTCACTGGAATTCTCCATCTCTAAGGGTTGTAATTTCCTGTTGCAATTGCCTTGCCCTATCGTGTTTCATCTGACGGCCATTCTCTCAAAACTGTGTAGTTTCTTTTCCACGTGTATCATCAAGAAATGAAGCATTTCTGAAATTTTCCTCTTTTTATTTGTTGTACTTAGCCTGCTGAGCTGACAGCACCGTTAGTAAGTGGGACTCCTGAACCTGTGCCACAAAGGAAGTCTCTGATAAGGTAAACAGCAGTCTATTGTTGAAATGGGTTTTTGTCATAACTATATGCATTTGCACTTGACGTGGAATAATATTATAGTTGTTATATTTGTTTCATTGACCACTGAAACTTCCCTTGCCATTTTAGGTTTAACTTTACCACCTTTGCCCAAGCTGCGGACAAGACTTCTTAGATGCATGTAAAGTTTAGCTGCCGATAAGCTTGGACCGGGAATGAATTGCAGCGATCATTTATATGGCTTATTTGTTTCTCCGATGCTGTAAAACTGAAGGACCTGAAAAAGCCACAAATTTGTACTTATTTGTGACAATAGAATTGAAATTGATGTTGGCTTTCACCAGGAGAAAAACATGTCCTTGAAATGTTATCTGAAATGTTGGAAAAGTCGTGACGCCTGCATGTGATAAAAAACTTGTATAAGATTTTATTTAGGGAGAATTTCATCAAAGGACCAGTGGATGAAGGTTATAGGAGTTATGATTTATAGAAATATTATTACCTTGTGCATTCAAGAAACTAAATGGATCAGTGAACAAGTTACAAAAATTAATGGTTTCAAACTTCAGTACACAAAGAAAGGGCAAATAGACCAGCATGTTGTAAAAAAAAAAAAAACTTTTATACCAAAATACTACACATTCAATAATATTTATCAAGATATTATAAATTGAAAGTTGGTTTTAATGACACTAAATTTACTTTTTGTTGTTTCGTGCTAGAATTGCATTACTTGGTTTGTGCATAACTTGATTTGTGTAAGATTGAATTTTGTACTAACAATTCCCAAAAAAAAAAGGTGTTACATGTTGTAGGTATTTTCGATTGTTTTTGTGCACCACTCACAAGTGATTGGCCTAACCTTTCCCCTCACTCTCTACAGTCACTCACTCTCCTTTTACAAGCATTTTCCTCACTTCTAGTGTTGATAATTTGACCCAACTTGTTAGGATAACTTGAATATATTAATAAAATAAAGTCAAAATTAGATAAAAATTGAAAATATTAATTTTTTTAAATAAGCATTGAAGTTGATCATAAAAAATAAAATAAAATAATATTTAACAATTTGAATATTTACACCATTTTAAAATTATAAAAATTAAGTTAAAATAATCAAAATTTAAAAACTGAATTCAATTGAAATTATAAAAATTCAGTTACAAAGTTCATGTCAACATTATAAGTACTAAATAATAAATCTTTCCTGCAGTATGCATAAGAGGTGGTGGTGGTACTTGTAAGAGGGGAGGAGAGTTATTGAGAGATAGAAAAGGGAGATAAATGGTTAACTGGGGCGGGAAAAAATAGCAAGATTGCCTACCACATATGACAAACAATTTTTTAATTATTAATACAAAATTCGGTTTCACACAGACCGAATTATATGGTTCTCACACCCACAAAAAAAAAAAAAAAAAACGCAAAGCTGAACTTGGTGTCATGGAAGCCAATTTTTAATTTATAATATTTTGGCAAATATTTTTTAAAATGGCCCAAATATTTAAATTGTTAAATATTATATTATTTTATTTTTTTTATAATCAATTAAATGTTTATTTAAAAAATTAATATTTTTAAATTTTATCTAATTTTAACTTTATTTTATGAATAATAAAAATTTTAGATATTCAAACTAAAACCATTCAAATTAGCTTGTTAAGTTGGGCTAAATTATAGCACTCGAAACGGGGGAGATGCTTGCAAGACAGGGTGAGTGATTGCAAAGAGAGGGTGAAGAGAGTATAGGCTAATCACTAGTGAGGGGTGTGTAAAAATAATAAAAAATGCTTGCGACATCTGACACAATTTTTTTAAATTGTTAGTACAAAATTTGGTCTCACACAAATAGAGTTATGCAGTTTTGGCACGAAAAAAACAAAAAGTGAACTTGATGTCATTGAAGCCAACTTTTAATTTATAGTATCTTGATAAATATTATTGAATGTGTAGTATTTTGTTAAATAATTTTTTTTATAATGTGCTGGTCAATTTGCCTAAAGAAAGCAAGCACATGAAATGAGTGGGTATCATCGTTGAGAAAGAGTAGTGTAACATTGCTCTTGTTATCCTAGTATATAACCAAAATCACCATGTTAATTAAGGATTAATTCCTCAGTTACCTTACCATTATTAAATATATTTTTAACAACATTTATAAAAAAAAACTAACCATAATAAAAATGAAAACACCATTTCAAAGGTCTATTATGATTAAAATGTTTAAAGCAAACAATTTATAACTTGAAAACCCCTTATTATAGTAGAATAAATTTTACTATAGTAGAATAGCCCAAAACCAAGTATTTTAAACTCTTTAAAAATTCACATAATCAAACTTTACATAAAAACATAATATTACTAAGATGAGATCCTAAATTTTGATAATCTAAACACATTAAATCTAATGCTATGATTGGATACACATGAATTTGAGCCAAATTCTTTTTTTTGGATAATTAAAAGTGTATGGATTTGGGTTTGACCCAAATTCAAAATTTTCCTTAATCTCTTTATAATTTGAAGTCCTTTCTAAATCTCTATTATTTCAAATCCCAACTCAAGCTTTTTTGTAATTAGACCTAAATGCATGAAGGCTTAATCAACCTGCCAATGGTAATTGAACTGAACCGCCAAAGTTAATAGAAATAAGCTACCACTGATGACCAGGATCGAACTGATGGCTTCCATTGGGACCGAACCAACGGTGATAACTAGGACAAGACGACCGACTTCTACTAGGACTAGACCTACAGTGATGATTGAGACTGAACGTCCGACTTCTACTGGTACCGGACTAACAATGATGTCGGGGATCGAATAGCTGAATTTCACTAGGATTGGACCGACAATGATGACCGGGACTAATGGCTGACTTTCACTAACATTGGAATGATGATGATGACCAAGATCGGATAGTAAACTTCTATCGACACCAAACTGATGGCGATGATTAAGATTGAACGGCCAAATTCCACTGACACTAGACCGACGGTGACGACCGAGACCAGACGGCCGATTTCTACCAATACTAGACCGATAGCGATGACTAAGACTGAACGGCTGACTTTCACAAGATCATACCAACGGTGATGATCGGGATAAGATTGCTGATTTCCACTGACCGAATTAAAGATGACGATCGAGATAGGATTGCAGACTTCTGCCAACATCAGATCGACGACAACAATCAAAATTGGACATTTGACTTCCCCCGACACCAGATCGATGAAAACGAGGATTGGACAGTTGACTTTTAAAGGGATCAGACTGGCAGTGATGACTTGGACAAGACGGCCCACTTCTATTGAGACCGGACTGACGACGATGATTAGAAGTCCAACTTCCACTGATCGAGGATCAGATAGCCACCATTCGTCGCCATTGCCTTCATTTTGGTCACTGTCATCGTCATCGTTGGTAAGGTCCAGTGTCCAAGGAAGTTGATTGTTTGGTCTCCATTATCGTAATTAGTTCGATCTGGGTGGAATTCGGTCGTTTGATCCTGGCGTTGGTCCGGTGCTGGTGGAAGTCAGCCGTGAGGCCCCCGTCATCACCGTCGGTCGGTCCTAATGGAAGTCAGCTATTTGATCCTTATTGTATTCGTCAGTTTGACCCGGATTGAAGTTAGTCATTCGGTCCTCGTCGTCACTGTCGGCCTGGTCCTGGTGGTATTCAACTGTCCCATCCCTATTGTAGCCGTTGATTTGGTCCCCGTGGAAGTTAGTCATCCTGTCCCCTTTGTCGTGACGGCTTGGTCCTAGTGAAAGTCGGAGGTCCCATCCTAGTCATCCCTAGTGCCATAGTCCCATTCGGCTTTGTTTCTCTAATCCTGTTGGATGTTGGCTATTCAAATCGTTGAGTTTAACCAATATTTCAAGTTTCTTTTAAATTTAAATATGGAATGTAAAATTTGAAATTTTACTTTAAATCTAAACAAAGGATTTAGAGTCTATGAATTTCAAATGTGAGATTTCAAATTCAAATTTCCAACTTAAATCCACCTATCCAAACACAACCTAAAGGAAAACTAGTTTAATTTACAATTAGCTAACATACGAAAGCATGATATATTATTTATACTGGAAAACATAGAAAAATAGGGTCAAAAATGTCAAAAACCAACAAACTAAGTCATTTGCTAAGGCCAAGGGATTGTGCACTGAGGCCAATTTCTCTTTGTGCCATACGCTATAGCACATTGCACAAAACATGACAGTATATTGAGATCATATGATAGACTTAGGGCCGAACTTACGATGTGCTTCAAATCTCCGTTCGACATCCAATTGAGGTGATCTAGGTCTTCACAAAAAGTTTTTCAGTGAACTAGCTAATGACATTAATTTTATTTTCAAATTATTTCATACTAAAGAGTTGGACATCTAAACAAAAACTATTTACATTTTTACACTTTACAACAACCTATGTAACACTTGCCCCGAATGTTATCCAAAAATCACACAATTCAAATAAACTAAGTGTGGTTAAGGAATTAATCCTAAAACCAACTTAGGAAACAAATCATTTAAATCACTAAGCAAATACACAATTGCAAAGTAAATATTTAAAGCCTTTTAAAAAAAATTTATAGGTTCTACCTATAGCACGCGGAAGCAAGCTAGACGAAAGTGAAATAAAAAGATGCTGTCATGACAGCATTAAATTGCTGTCATGACAGCCCTCCTGGGCCAACTTCCAGAAATTACCATTTCATCATTCGACCTCCGATCGAAGTAATTTTAAAGCTCACACATCACATTTAAAGGGTACTATAAGTATACCAAATTTTAAAAAGATCCAACGGTCGGATTTAAAATTAGACATGTTAAAAATTTGATTATTTTTGCTGTCACAGTACTTCTGGACCAACTTTCGGAGTGCACCATTTCATCATCTGACCTCCGATCGGAGTGATTCAAAAGTCCACATGTCACTTTTTAAAGAATAATATTAGCATACTAAATTTTGAAAAGATCCAATGGACGGATTTAATTTTGTGCAGGTTACAAAATTAACACTGTAGCTGTCATGACAGCACCTCCAGACCAAATTCTGAAGTACGTCGTTTCTCCGTCCGATATCCGATCGATGTGATTCCAAAGCCAACACAAAGCTTATAAAAGTTTTTACTTGTGACCCAAATTTTAGAGAAATCCAACGGTCGGATTAAGATTTGGACACCCGGATGCAAAAGTGCAGCTTTTTGGTAAAAAACCATTTTCAAAATTGTCCAAATCTCATCCTAATGATCACAAACCTGTGGGAACACTTTGGACACGTCAAATAAGACTAAAAACACCTGATAGAACATTTAAATGATGGAAAACCCTCATATATCAAAATTTGACCACCCAGGTGCCATTTCTCAAAATTGACCCTAAACCCCCAAAATGCACAAATCATACAAGGGTAGTCACAAATCAATTTAATACCATGTATTTATATAAATACATATGCTAAACATTTTCATTTGGCTCAGAGCTCCTTGTGGGGCCCATGCACCCACTCTCTCTATCCAAAGTATATGTTTGCTCATAGCACATCATTTGCAATGCAACCACTTTGCATTTACTTATAAAATCACATATATATCAAAATAAATATCTGCTTGTAATAGAAATTTGGTCTACTAAGTAAATCCATCAAAACCACATACCATAACCAAGTTTCCTAGCCACAAGTCTGCAAACAGACAAAAATTCATACACAAGCACACAATCCACACATATTCACACATACATACATAATCATATCCTACTGGCACCCTAATCCTAAATACATTACAATATATTTGCTCAAAAGAAAGGGGTTGCAGTTCTTTACAAATCACAAGCAAACCCCTAGCTTTGCTCCTTTTCCCGTCCACCACTGGATCCTTCACCTGGGCCTGGAAATATTGAAAAGAAAGGGGTGAGACAAACACAGTCTCAGTAACAGAGAAATCTACATTGATTATTACAAAGTAAGCCATAATCAAATAAATGAATAATAAATTTAACATAGTATATAATTTAGCCATTTAAAATGTATGAATGCATGACCTAGGCCAGTATGGCCTTTTATGACTAACAGAATGCCCCCTGACACTCTTTAACTCGCAGGTAAACCTTATACCTACTTGTATCTCCACAGGCACAAAACATAGTCTAAGGCATGATCTAATCCACCGAACCGCTTATGCCCCTTCGACGTGAATCCTGAGCAGTCAAAGCTAATTCCCTCCCAGAGCCAACCCGACTTACTCTCCATGTGAGGGCTACCTTGGCCTAGGCACTAAACCTCACACTTCATATGTCGGATTTCCTCCCCCACTGAGAGGTGTTGAACACTCAATACACTAACCACTTTAGTGCACTGAGCCCACAATATGTAAGACAACACTGAGTACTGACAGTGTGCCATAAAATATCAAAAATCCACACCTTCTCATTGGTGAACTCCCACCAAGATCATGCCTTTTACTCTTGTCTATCTTTCTTGAATATTGACCATTCAACACTCTAAAGTAGTATAACATTTATAAATCTCGTTTCCATAAAAACATTGTTATTAAACAATTAAAAAAACATATTTGCACTATAATCAAAGTAGTACCCCATAACCCCTTATAAAGCACATTTAATCTTTTAAAACATATAATGCATGATAGCTAGTAATATTTATTCAAAAATAGCTAAAATAGAGTAATAGAAAATATAAATTTCCCATGTTACCTCAACCCTTTGGTACCAAAAGGGTTCCTTTTGTACAAAATAGAACTTGGCTTGTTCCTTAACTTCCGAACAAATTCCACCAACAATCCCTACAACATATAAGTGATCCACATCACTTATCATGTCAAATAGCATTAATGAAGACTATAACTCATACCACACAATTTGGGTCTATGAGTCATAATCCATCCCAATAGTCTATATATTAAACCAACCATTCACATAATATCACTTAACCACCAAAACCATTTATTAGCCATCATTAGGCTAATTTTCAATTTATATAATTTTTTATCAATTAAAAACCTTCACTTAGTGTCACCAACTTTCACCATTAGCCCTTATAATGAAAACCAAACCTTAATTTAAATCTTATTGGGCTCAAATAGCAAAATTTTAACTAAATCAATAAGCTTAAACCATTGAAGAGCAAAAACCTAATTTCTCAGGGTTTAATTTGTGCCCAAAATACCTCTTTTCATCCAATTATCCACTTAAAACATACTCCCTAGGATCCAAAGAAACAAAAGCTCACAAGAATAAAGCCTTTGGGATCAAAATTTAAAAATTTTCTCTTCCAAAAATTGAAGAAAATCAAGAGAAAGAGAAGAGGATTGAAGTAGGGAGTTTACCTATCGTGTAGCCGAGCTCGCAACGGTCGCAAAGACTCCTAGATCCGAGCCTAACTCCCTCTCTTTCTCCTTTCTTCTTCCTCTCTCTCTCTCTCTCTCACGTGTTTCCTTTCCTTTCCTTGTTTTCTTTTCTGCGTTTCTGGTCTGTTTTTCCTCTTATAAAAGCTGATCTAAAAGTTTGGGGAAAATTACAAGAAATGGCCCAACATTTTTTATTATTGCACAAAAGCTCGGGTCAACTTTGGTAATTTTTCTCATAGTTAAAAATCAAATAAAACTAAACTTTTGCTTAGTAAAATTCAAACTCTGGACCTCTACCAAATTATTCTAAATTTTAATTTAATTATAGATATTTTATTTTATTTTATTTTTATAAATTCGAGTCTTAAAATTTCGGGATGTTACAACCTAGGTGTCTAAAACTCAACCCAAGTGCAAAAATCTCAACCTAGTACCTAGATCACACTTAATAGATTCAAGAAAACCTATACAACACACCACGACATACTAATATCACAAGTAGCTCAAATCCAATACTCAACCCCATGATTTCCAAAAACAAATGGGGGTGGTTCTCGATATCAAATGTTATCATATTTAAATACAAGTACGCATATAATCATAATCATATTTGCACTAATATTTTGGCCCCTACCCATATAACTCACATCACATAGCACACATATTATAAGGTCTAAAATATAACACTAGATTAAATGATCAATAAATAGTATGTGCAAACTAATCTCATCATTTACTTAGTTTCGTGAGGTCACACTATTAGATTCTTGGAAGCTCAAAGCTAGATACAAGAAGGTTCGAACATCGGCCCTCTTCCTTCATAAATTCCTACATACCTCAAACTGAAGATGATTATAAGAATGGGTTCGTTTTCTAGTTATAAAATGATCCTTTCGTGCCTCATTGGAAGACGATCGCAAGATGCACCATAACAACCCCGGATGCCTATATCACGTGTGAAAATGAGTCTTCTTTCTTCTTTCTTTCATTTTTTCCCTTTTAATCAGTAAGGGCAAATGGATCATTTCAGTTTTAAAATTATTTACCCCTAAAAATCATGAGATTTCATAATAATTTATCTTATTCATGCGATTTGATAGTATTTAAGTCTGGTATGTGAGATTTTATTATAATTTTTTTTATCTATTACTCTTGGTGCATTTTATTTAGAGTTTCTAAAAAGAGGAAAAGCAAAAGGAAGGAAGATCATTATTGGCAGCAATTAGCTGCGATCGTTATCTGCATTGTGTATCGAGAAAATATTATTTATATCATGTCTTAAAAAATGAGCGTAACTATTGATTTTTAGAACCATGGATTATGTTACTGGGCCATATAAAAATATCCCAGCCATTTAATGCTTCGTGAATTTTATAATAGGAGTTTGGCATCGTCATTTTTTGATTTTCCCAGCGTTTTCACCAACAGTGAACCAAAAAGCAAACCCTCCTTTTCTTTATCTATTCCTGCAGTCTTTTTGTCATTCTCTCTCACTCACAAACTCTCGTCACTTCTTCCAGGTTTTCATCTCAGCTACTGGAGATTTGAGGTTCTTCCGTGGCTGACGTACTACACCCACAAGAATTGGTGGAGGCAAAGATTTTTCAAGATTTAATCGCGTGCCATAACATTTTTTGGGATCCATGATTGCTTGGTGTTTATATAGTTTTCTAGGGTTACGGTTTTATCCGAATTGAAATCCCCTGTAGTGGTTTTGTACTTTTTTTTTTTTGGGTCATGTTTGGAAGGAACTGATTCCCAATTGTTCTGTAATTTTTTCTCTTATATTTTTATGGTCAAGGTACACAGCTTTGAATGTTCCCCCGATACTGTATAATCAAAAATCATCTCATTGTTAGTGTTTTTCCCCCCTTTTCATCTTGTCCATCTATTTATGTTTCTGGGAAAGAGACGGTGATAAACCATCTATAACTGATAATTCCCTATCATTGACGCAAAATATATGCTATAATAAACAAAAATAGTATCAATTTATTCATGGGGAGTCCCATATTGAGCAATCGCAGCAACGCGCAACCGCGATTAGGCATTACTGAACCCATTTCATTGGGTGGGCCAACTGATTGCGATGTCATCAAGACCCGTGAACTCGAGAAGGTTCTGTTCACACTTCATGTTCCTAATTTTTAGACATTTTGTAAGCTTTTTCATACTCAGTTTGGATTCTGGCTGTTCAGTATTTGCAAGACGCGGGACTTTATGAGAGTCAGGAGGAGGCTGTGAGCAGGGAAGAAGTGCTTGGCAGGCTAGACCAGGTTGAATTAAATTTTCTTGATATCATTTTTAATCCTGTGAAGGAATCAGGTTGAAATATATATATATGGCATTTCGGGAGCTGAAGTTTGCTGGAGGGACTGTATACTTCATTCTTTGAATTTGTATTTGCATTTCTCTTCCTACCTTCTTGGGGATGTGAAGGAGCTTCCCATGCATTTTGTTTATTCCGTTCGTGCTTTTGTACTATGAACTAGATTGTGAAGATTTGGGTTAAAGCCATTAGCCGTGCAAAGGGACTCAATGAGCAACTGGTGCAAGAAGCAAATGCCAAGATCTTTACTTTTGGCTCCTATCGGTTAGGGGTGCGAAGCTGTTTCATAATTTTTTCCTCTGGCGCTCTTATTTATCTATTTTTGTCTGTGCTGTTATTTCGTTGTATGCTTGTTGGGGTTGTCTGGCCAAAGGAAGGGGGAGGGATCATGGGGACTCCAAAGTCAAATGGCACGCTGCTTGTATTTATATCTTGTAGAATATATGAAATTCACAGTTTGGCGCAGGAAACAAAGTTTTGCCCTTTGCGAACCATTGGCTCTAGCATATTTTAGAGATCTAAGGATCTGAGTAGATGTTATCTGACTTTTTGAAACCTGTGCTGTTGTATGACATGACGTCATGTTTGAGCTTGATTATATGCATGTGATGGTCTTGGTGTGTTTTGTCTAGTTTTTTTTTTTTTTGGATATCTATGGAGAGTAGACTTTATGATTAATTTGAATTTATTTTTGTTCATTATTTTTTTTGGAAAAATACTAATTTGTAGAGATGCCTGTTTGTCTCCGTTTTTGTCTACTATTAGAAATGAGATGTGACATGATAATTTATTTACAGTTCATGTCATTTTGCATTTAAGTTTGATCATCATTTTTTGAAATGATTGCTTAATACTCTTGAAAATTTGATTTTAAGGAAGGCTTTTTTGAAAATTTCCAAGGGAACATTAGAAGGTCTGTGTGATAAACTATAATCTCTTTCACATACACCCATCACAATAAACTATTTTTAGAAATTTTGATGTTTGAACCACAAACAAAGCTGACTAGCTATAAACTCTTAGTATACATTACCTTGAATTGGTTTACATCACTTTCCCTTCTTAAACTTTGCCTCCCATATTTTTTAGGTGCATGGTCCTGGAGCAGATATAGACACTCTTTGTGTGGGCCCTAGACATGCAAGCAGAGAGGTATGAGCAGTGCATTTTATAGTGAAAATATAATTTTCTATGTTCATATACTATGTCAATTAAATTTTTTATTTGATTTGTCCTTAGGAAGATTTTTTTGGTGAGCTGCAAAATATGCTATCTGAGATGCCAGAAGTAACAGAATTGCACCCTGTGCCTGATGCACATGTTCCAGTGATGAAATTCAAGTTGAATGGTGTTTCCATAGATCTCCTTTATGCAAAATTATCTTTGTGGGTTGTTCCAGAAGTAAGTTGCTGATGCAAAAATGATTATGCTTTATGCACGATTGTTGTTATTTGTCAAATTCCAGTCCTTCTTATTTTCCCCTTAGGAATGGACAAAACAAACCTTCTAGATATGTGATATGCATTCTAACCCATCCTAAAACTTAACCCCTCATTACGACACTATTGGCAACCTCATACTTAGATGCATATATGTGTTAATGGAGAGTCCTAAGTAGTATTAACCTTACTGAAGACTCAAAAATTCTAGCTAACTCAGTTTGAGGAACAGGTTGGACTTATTGAAAATAAAGGCAGTGATCAGTTCCATCAAATTATATAGGCAGTTCTCTCCCTCTCAATGAAATGGCTGGAATAGTTGATCAAGGGTCAAAAGAAGATTGATCAACAACAACAACAACAACAACAAGCCTTTATCCCACTAGGTGGGGTCGGCTACATGGATTGCAAGACGCCATTGTGTTCTATCATTTATTAAGCTTTTAGAAATATTATTAATTAAGAGATCACGTTCAACAACTTCCAAGAGTGTTCTCTTAGGCCTTCCTCTACCTCTCTTAATCGGACTCAAAGTTATATGTTCCACTCTTCTCACTGGTGCCTCCCTTGGTCTTCTTTGTACATGCCCAAACCATCTCAACCGATTTTCTACCATTTTTTCCTCAATAGGTGCCACCCTCACTTTTTCACGTATGTGCTCATTTCGAATTTTATCTTTACGTGTATGTCCGCACATCCATCGTAACATTCTCATCTCTGCTACTCCAACTTTATGCTCTTGCTGTCCCGTTAGAGCCCAGCATTCACTACTATATAACATTGCCGGTCTGATAGCAGTACGATAAAACTTTCCTTTAGTTTATTAGGCACCTTACGGTCACAAATAACTCCTTTAGCTTTTCTCCAATTAAACCACCCAGCTTGAATTCTATGTGAAATATCTCCACTGATTTCGCCATCATTTTGAATAATGGCTCCCAAATATCTAAACTTTTCCACTTGAGGTATAATTTGATCTCCCAATTTCACTTCCAAATTATTTTCGAATAGTCCTTTATCAAATTTACAATATAAATATTCCGTCTTACTTCTACTCAGACGAAAACCTTTCGACTCCAATGTCCTCCTCCATAACTCAAGTTTGCAATTAACCTCTTCTCTTGTCTCTGCTATAAGAACTATATCATCCGCGAAGAGCATACATTTCGGGATTTCCTCTTGAATATGTTCCGTCAAAACATTTAAAATCAAGTTGAACAAATAAGGACTCAGAGATGATCCCTGATGTAGTCCAATCTTTATAGGAAAATCCTTTGTTTGACCACTAGGCGTTCTTATACTAGTTTTTACCCCCTTATACATATCTTGTATGGCTTTAATATAAGCAATCCGTACTCCCTTTTTTTCCAACGCTTTCCAAAGCACTTTTCTTGGTATACGGTCATAAGCTTTTTCCAAATCAATAAAAACCATGTGTAGATCTTTATCTTTACAACGATACTTTTCCATTAATCCCCTTAGTAGATAAATCGCCTCTGTAGTTGATCTACCTGGCATAAAACCAAATTGATTCTCAGAAATACTTGTCTCCAATCTCAACCTGTGCTCAATTACTTTCTCCCACAATTTCATTGTGTGGCTCATGAGTTTAATCCCTCTATAGTTAGTACAATTCTGAATATCTCCTTTATTTTTATAAATAGAAATTAATGTACTTCTCCTCCACTCATCAGGCATTTTCTTGGACCGTAAAATCACATTAAATAACTTAGTTAACCATCTCACCCCTTCTTCACCTAAACATTTCTACGCTTCGATAGATATACAATCAGGTCCGTTAGCTCTACCATTTGCCATTTTTTTAAGAGCTTCCTTTACCTCCTTATCACGTATTTTTCGATAGAATGACAAATTTTGTTCTCCTTCACCAGTTATAAATCCTCCAAGTTACTAGATGAATCCTCTCCATCATTGAAAAGTTTAGAAAAATAAGTCTCCCATCTATTTTTAATTTCATCATCTGTAACTAAAATTCTTCCCTCTTCATCCTTAATACACCTTACCTGTTCTAGATCTCTTGATTTTCTTTCCCTACTCTTGGCAATCTTATAAATATTTTGCTCTCCTTCCTTCGTCTCAAGGTTCTTATAAAATTCTTCAAAAGCTTTAGAACGAGCTTCACCCACAGCTCTCTTAGTTTCCTTCTTAGCCATACGGTACCTCTCCCAATTTTCCTCATTGTTACACAAATGTATGGCTTTAAAACAGTTCTTCTTATACTTGATTTTGTCCTGTACACTATTATTCCACCACCAAGACTCCTTATCTCTCGGACCAGAACCTTTCGATTCTCCCAAAACTACTTTTGCAACCTCCCGTATCTTTTTAGCCATATCCTCCCATATGATGTTAGCACTTCCCTGAGAATCCCAAATTCCTTTATCCAAAAGATTTCGCTTGAAAATATCTTGCTTCTCACCTTTTAATTGCCACCACCTAATCCTTGGTGTTACTACTTGTCGACGTTTTTGGATTTTACTCATAATACACACATCAAGGACTAGGACCCTATGTTGTGTCGTTACAGCATCTCCAGGGATCACCTTACAATTTTTACAAAGTTTTCTATCTGTGTTCCTAACCAAAAGAAAATCAATCTGCGACCTTGAGGCTCCACTTTTGTAGGTGATGAGATGCTCATCTCTCTTCTTGAAACAAGTGTTGGCAATCTTAAAATCATACGCCAATGAGAAATCAAGAAGAGTTTGCCCTTCATTGTTTAGCTCTCCAAAACCAAAACCACCATGCACCCTCGCATACTGACCAGCTTCCCTCCCGACATGCCCATTAAAGTCTCCTCCAATAAAAATCTTTTCACTCTGTGGTATGTGTCGAATCAACCCCTCCAGATCCTCCCAAAATAATTCCTTAAGACTGGCTTCTGTCCCGACTTGCGGCGCATAAGCGCTAACAATATTAACAGTCTCACGTCCAATTATCATTTTTAAAGAAATAATTCTGTCTCCAATTCTGCTAACTTCTACAACGTTCTTCTTCCACTCCTTATCTATAATGATGCCTACTCCATTGCGTGCACTTACTTTTCCTGTATACCAAAGTTTGAAACCTTGAATATCCTTAGCTTCTTCTCCACGCCATTTTGTTTCTTGCAAGCAAAGGATATTGATTTTCCTTTGAATCATAACCCCTACAACCTCTACAGATTTACAATTTAATGTCCCAACATTCCAAGTACCAAATCTAATTTTGCTCTTATGGACTAACTTCTTTAGCCGCGTGCGTCCAGAATGACGCGGTAGCCCTTGCTCATTTAACACTACATCCGGGCGCCGATGCAGCGACTCTAACTCACTTATCACTGTACTCGAGCCATGCAGCGCGTTACTTACGGGCAACGACCTAGCATTAACATTATAACGTCTATTGTCCATGTTCATGATAGATTCAACAAATTTTTACATTGGCTGTTGATGGCCTAACACAACCCTCCTCCTTTACCCGGGCTTGGGACCGGCTATAAACATAGGCGGAGTTCAAAAGAAGATTGATCAAATCTTTAAAATACCCCAATAGAAAATATCACTAACCTTTTGAGATCAGGACTTATTCAGTGATTGCTGCTTTTGACATGTGAGATTCTGAAGTTTGCTCTTGTTTGCTTTGCCTTGGTTGTTTGAGTGAGATTTTATGTAATTTGGCCTTCTAATCCTGTTGCCCTTTGTTGTATTCGAGGCCAATATTGTATTCCCAGATATCGATATTGTGGTTGTGGAAATAGAAGATGAAACATATGCGGTCAACCCCTTGACAGCACAGCCTTCATTTAAAAATATAAAGCGTTTCTAAGACATTTAATGGTATAAAGTTAAATTGTGAAGTCTGAGGGCATCAAAAGTGGCCTAATGTGGCAATATATCTTCACTCTTTTTTTGTTGCATACTCACTGCAACACACTCCCTCTTGACCACAATATAAATTGTTTTCTAGAAGCTTGGCTCTGTCCAAAATATAAGGCATTGGGTAGGTGTTATATATATATTTTTTTCCGTTTACACCCTTACTTTATTAAGTAATTAATGATGGTGTTTTGAATAAGTCAATTGCAATATTTATTATACTCAAGGGCACAATTGGAAAGATATGAATTTTTAAAAATCAAGATTTTAACCAACTTTTTTGAGAAATATAAATTAGTTAACAATAGCTTATTTTGTGGTATGGGGAGAGTACTTTTCTTTTCGTACAGGTTGTATTTGTCTATGTTTACTGCTTAGTCATACTCGATTTTTTGGGGTGCAGGATTTAGATATATCACAGGATTCAATATTACAAAATGCAGATGAGCAAACTGTTCGTAGTCTTAATGGTTGTCGGGTTACTGATCAAATTTTGCGTTTGGTTCCAAATATTCAGGTAGGGGAATAGATTTGGTGTGGAAATATATTTCATGTTGTTGTTGTTCTTCTTCTTCTTATTATTATTATTATTTTTGGTATCATTTATTGTTGATTGAAATTTTGATTGTGAAGTGCAGAATTTTCGAACGACATTAAGATGTATGAGATTTTGGGCAAAGCGCCGAGGTGTTTATTCAAATGTATGGCAACACTGCTGCACATTGTCTGCTTTCCTTTTCCTTTGTGGCCTGATGTATTCAGTTGTGATCTTTCTGATGTATCTAATGGGATTTCTTGTTAAATTCTTCTCAGGTTTCAGGTTTTCTTGGTGGTATAAATTGGGCATTGCTTGTTGCTCGAATATGCCAGCTTTATCCCAATGCCCTCCCTAATATGTTAGTATCTCGATTTTTCCGGGTATACACTCAGTGGCGTTGGCCAAATCCAGTAATGCTTTGCAATATTGAAGAAGGATCTCTTGGACTTCAAGTTTGGGATCCTAGAAAATATCCCAAGGATAGATATCATCTAATGCCGATAATTACCCCTGCTTATCCTTGTATGAACTCCAGTTACAATGTGTCATCAAGTACTTTGCGCATTATGTCAGAGGAATTTCAAAGGGGAAGTGAAATATGTGAGGTATGATCTTATGGCACGAGAAATGATTCTCTTTTTGGCCAAACCTTGAATAATTCTGCTCAAAATTTCTTGTTCAGTGTATAAGTTTGTTGTATCTATGGTTCAATCCTATGATGGGGACCCAAAAGTTGGTGTTCCCACATTGTCAAAATTATGCTAGACGTGGAAATTGAATACCATTGTTTGATGACTTTGGTCAACTATGATATTTCTTCGGTCTTCACTGCTTTTGTTGTTCTTACTTGATGCACTTTAGTGCAATAAGTCTGTCCTAGAAAGCTGGGAAGGAAGAGTCTGAATTACTATACAAGTGTTTTATGTGTTTTTTTTTTTGGTCATTTACTTTGTGTTGGATGTTGGGTATTATAAACGTTGATAAACTTTGAATTGGTAATTTCATGTTTCTAGTTTCTATGAAAATGTGCTTGTATTTACATTGAAGTTGTTAAGGAGGTACTGAATTCAGTACTATACAAGTTGTATCGTTGGAGAAACAATTTTCTTGTGGGGTGATCAATATTTTTAAATAACTCTGGCAGACATTTTTAGTGATCGCATTTATATTTATTCTTTTGTGACATTTGAATTGTATAAATTTGATATTTCTGGGATTTGTAGGCTATGGAGGCAAGCAAGGCTGATTGGGATACCCTTTTTGAGCCTTATCCCTTTTTTGAAGCTTATAAGAATTATCTACAGATAGACATTAGTGCAGAGAATGCTGATGATCTTAGAAAATGGAAAGGTTGGGTTGAGTCTCGCCTTCGTCAACTGACGTTAAAGGTGAAACACTGTATAATTTTTGTATGCTTATTATTTATTGTTATTTTGATATCGATTTGGTAGTACAGGATGCTTAAATCTTGCATTGAGTAATATGAAAAATGCTTGGTATGGTACTTAATATGAATGATTCTTCCCCATTGATAGCATGCTTTTAGGGATAGGTTCCTCACACATCCTCAGGTTTTATCATTCATTATTATGCTTGATATAATACTTAAAGTGTGTGGCTCGTCCACCTTGATGGCATGCTTTTAAGGGTGGGTTCCACATGCCTCTTTTGATCCTATCATATTCTCTCTTGCCTCTTTTTTACAAGTGTTTTTTTAATCTATTTGTTGATATGTGGAGGTAACTTTATTTCTTTGTTCATACATAACCTCCTTTGGTTTTCTGTGAAAACTAGATTGAGAGGCACACATATGGGATGCTTCAGTGCCATCCACATCCTGGTGATTTTCCAGACAAATCCAGACCTTTCCACCGTAGTTACTTCATGGGTCTGCAACGTAAGCAAGGAGTTCCAGTTAAGGAAGGTGAACAATTTGATATAAGGATAACTGTTGAAGAATTTAAGCACTCTGTCAACGTGTACAATTTATGGAAACCTGGAATGGAAATTCATGTATCCCATGTGAAGCGTCGGACTTTACCTACCTTTGTATTTCCTGGTGGTGCTCGCCCTTCCCGCCCAACTAAAGTAACTTGGGATAGCAAGCGGAGTTCAGAATTGAAGGTCTCTGGCCATATTCAGGAAAAATGTCCTGAAGGTAGGGCAGTTGCATGCGGAACAGATGATGAAAAAAAGAGAAAGCGAGCAGACGATGAGTTTGATGATAACTTGAGAATTTCCAAATCCGTGGCATCTTTACCTTCTTCCAGTAGGGAACTTCATGAGGATATAACTATTAGCACTGCCAATTCTTGTTCTATAAAACACAACTCAGAGGCCAATGTTATTGGGGGACAAAAGGGTGAGAAATCTGATTTGAATTTTCCAGAGGAGATATCATCTGAGAAGAGTGAGATTAATGGTTCAGGAAGAGACAATGTACAAGTCAACCCTATACATGCTGCTTCTGATATGTCAAATTCTAAAGAAGCAGAAAAGCTGGCAATTGAGAAGATTATGTCTGGTCCATATGATGCACACCAAGCCTTTTCAGAAGAACCAGATGAGCTTGAAGATGATCTTGAGTATAAAAATCAAGTGAAAGGGGATGGGGGAGACGGGAAAAGTAGCTTAGACTCTTTAAACGTGAAGGCTGTAGTGGCAACTGAGCCAGTTATTTCAAGCGAGGAAATGATTCATTCGACTCATTTACGATCTGGTGGGGGCTTGGATGAACTTGAGGTTAACCTCTTATTTTGCCTTAACTCGGCTTTTAAATATTGGAATTTTCAGTGGATGTTAATCCTTCTCTTCTCATCTGTTGCAATTGTCTTAAAACCAATGTCAAATCAAAGTATTTGCTACGATATTGTTAAATTGCTCAGCTTAAGTGAGTCCCTGTTTTAGTTTTATCCAGTGTCTTTGCTGCATGTGTAATGGCTGCTTGAATGCTTGACAGTTTTGTTTTCCTTGTCCTTAATATTCTTTATAGAATTTGATGGCATAATGTCCTCCAAACAAAAAGCGACAGTTTTTGATATGGTATTAATGAAGTATAATTATATCATGAGGTTTTCTTATTAAAATCGATTATTTTATATATTCTATGAAATGATAATTTAGTTTGGAATTTGCATTTATTCCTGTCACTTGCTGGATTATGTTTCTCTTGCTCTACTTTCACTGGAATCCTCCATCTCTAAAGGTTGTAAATTGTAATTTCCTGTTGCCTTTGCCATGTCCTATCCTCTTTCGTTGGAGGGCCATTCTCTGAAAGCTGTATAGTTTCTTCTCCACGTGGTATCAATAATAAAGGAAACATTTCTGAATTTTTCCTCTCATTTGTTGTACTCAGCCTGTTGAGCTGACAGCGCCGTCAGTAAGTGGGGCTCCAGCGCCTGTGCCCCAAAAGAAGTCTCTGATTAGGTAAACAACAGTCTCTTTTTGAAATGGGTTTTTGTCATAACTTTCGTGCATATGCACTTGACCTGGGGATTATATTATAGTTGATGTTTTTATGAAGCTTTTTTTGTTTCATTGACCATCGAAAGTTCTTAGGTTTAACTTCACCTCCTTGGCCAAAGCTGCGGACAAAAGTTCTTAGATACGTCTAAAGTTTAGCTGCAGATGAGCCGGGCGGACGGGGAATGACTTTCAGCGATCCTTTAATATATATAGCTTATTTGTTTCTTCTATAATAATGCTGATGCTGTAAAACTAATTGAGCTGGAAAAGCCGCAAATTTGTACTTATTGTGACATTAGAATTGAAATTGATGTCGGCTTTCACCAGGAGAGAAACACGTCCTTGACATGTTATCTGAAATGCTTACTTTCCATCGTCCCGTATTAATGGGCTCATAATTGCAAATTTGTTATTCTTTTCACTTGTTGATTCTTGTTTGCATGTTGCCTACCATGAGGACTGGAGATTGAGAAATCAGACGGAACCTTTGGGCAAATGCTTTGGTCTGCTATCTGGCCGCACGTAGCAGGGGTTCCACAGGATTAAGTTGAGATTTAAATGACGTCTCTTCATAAAAACATAGAGCTGATAATTGAGGTTAAGGTTGATGAGCTAACTCGAACGTGCCCAAAAAAGTAAAGACCTGGCTTGGTTTTATGGGTTTTTAAAGGGAGTAGAATTCTTTAAGTTCGATGTAAGTAAATTCGGTTCGAATTGAGCTTGATTGTTGGAATTTTTGGTTTTGTGTGTGTAAAGTAAATAATTTTGGTCAAATTTGACAGGCTAATTTAAATCTAGTTAAAAAAAGTTAGGGTCAGATTTAATTATATAGGTTTTTTTAAAAAGATATAATATTTTAACTCTAACTTGAATAAGTTTGGCTTGTTTAAATTATTGGTTTTATAAAAACGTTATAAAATAAAAATAATATTTCAAATTGATATACAATATATTAAAAAAAATAAGTGTGACTTTTTTTTGGGTCAACAGTTTGACTTATTTAAACTGTAATATACATTAAAGAAATAATTTGTTTGCTGTTTAACAGGTTGGGGCTATATTAGAGTAATTTTTTTATCTTGAACATATAAGAAATACTATTATAGCTTACATTTTAGACTACACACTCCACACGATCCAGATTTGTACCTAATAATTGGAAAGGCAAAATCGAGATTAACTTGAAAGTTTATTAAAATAATATAAATTGTATGAAAGAGAAAACAAAGTAGCTTCAAACTTGGGAATCTTGAGTGTTAGCCGTCTGTTGGATAAGCCGCTATCCTCTTTAATTGAACATTTAACTCGGTCCCTTTAGTTAGCAAAAGGGGAAAAATGATTGTCTATAATTTTACAAAATTTTCATGATTACTTTTTCATTATTTTTCTAAAAAGAATGACTTCTTATCCCTTTCATTTTATTATTATTCCCTCGTAATTCAAGGGTGAAAGTTAAATCCTAAAAGAAGTAAAGGCATTTACTTTTTTTAAAAAATGACAATAAATTTTTTTAAATTATATAAATAATGATTTGATTTTTTAAAATGTTACAATTTTACTAGAATTTTTAAAGACTTTTTTATTAATAAGTTTTAAATTAAAAAGATTATTTTACCCTTCTTGACAAGTAATTTCTTATTCAATTTTTATAATTCTTTAAATAAAAGTTATTATTTTTGAACAAAAGTTATGATTGGAGCTTGTTATTTTGATAACTTATTTTTTAATAACAGAAATTATATTTGATAAGTTATAATTTTTTGTTCAACTCTTGTAATTCACAAAACAAAAGTTGTAATTGGAGACTTGTTATTTTGAGATAGAAAATACACTTGATAAGTTGTAATTTTTTATTCAATTATTGCAATTCACAGAATAAAAGTTGTTATTACTTAAGCAAAAGTTGTGATTAGGGATTGTTATTTTTAATATGGGTAAAAAAATAATTTTTTTACTTTAAAATTTATTGATACAGAAGTTTTTAGAGACTTTAATAGAATTATGGCATTTCAAAGAATTAGATTATCATTTGTCTAATTTGAAGAGATTTTATTATTATTTCCCTTACTTTTTACTTAGTTTTCTTTAAATAGGAAGGCAAATTAATTAATTTTAATTTTTTATGTAGCTATTTAAGTGGGTAAGTTTAATTAGGGATAGCTTTTCCAAACACTTTTTTGCATTCAAAGACGCTTTAATTTAATACGAAACCTTACACGTAAATGGTTACGGCCTTTTGATAAACCCGGTTGAAGTAAATTTTATTTGCTAATCATTCCCTTTTATCAAGGAAAATTGTCCGAAAAAGCCTCACTAAGAATTTGTTTGCCAACAAGGATTTGGGTAAATTTTTGAAACATGGTCCTTGGCTGGCATTACTTTTGGATGATCAAATTACCAAATTGCCCTCAATGAAAGAAAAGAAAAATTGAACAATTCTCCCACTCTTCACATGTGATCGTCTCTAAGCCAACATTCCATTTAGTCCGATGAAGCTTCGATTACATTTGATCTCCAAGTTCATGACATTGTTAGGTTAGTTCATTAAGTATTCGATGATGATCGTGAGCTATTGTTTGATTTTCAGTTCTTATTTGGTGACAATAGAGTTTGGTTGTTTGAGTTTCATATTGTTGCTAAAAGAGATCAAAAGAGGTTAAACCAAGTATTTGCTTTACTACTTATTCCTCTCATATTGCAGAGGTTTATGACACCTAATGTAGAATTTTATAGAATCATGTTTTAATTATTTGCTGACAGAATTTTTTCCTTCCATGTTGAAAATTGCAAGTGTATATAACATCCTTATGAGTAAGGAACTGAAAGAAATATTTTATCTTTCATATAGGGGAAAGATTGTTATTAATGAAGGAAGGAAGGGTGCAATATGTTGGTGGCAGAGCAAATGGAAGGATAGTAAGTACTTTAATGTTATTTGATGAGTTATGAAGATATTGAGAAGTTAACAAGGGTCATCATTGTGAACATGCAGAATTCTTGGTCCTTGATGGGTAACTATTTCGAGGATCTAGACTGTGTATCCCTCATATTTCGATGCTTGACTTTCTCATTTGGGAATTACATGCTAGAGGGTTAGCTGGACATTTGGTATCTAGAAAACCATAGCTTTAATATATGATAGATTTTATTGGCCCTCCCTTAAGTGAGATGTTGCTAGGATCCTGGCTTAATGTTGCACATGACATATTGCTAAGGTGAACAAAAGAAATATAGGGTGGTATAGCCCTTACTAATTCTTTAAGCACCTTGAAAGGATATTAACATGGACTTTGTATTAGGGCATGAATTAGTTCTAGTCATAATTGATCGACTATCGAAAATTGCTCACTTTGTATCATGCAGCAAGACCACTGATGCCTCCCATCTTGCTAAGCTATTTTTTTAGGAAATTGTCTTTGTTCACAGGTTACTTACTTCTATTGCTTCGGATAGGATGCCAAATTTTTTATTTCTAGAAGACCCTTTGGAAATGGTGAAACTAAGGTCACTAATCAGAGTGTAGGTGAAATGTAAAAACTTGATGCACACAAAAACTAAATGGACACTGCAAGTGTATAGGTTAACATGTAATATAGTAATGCATCAAGGCCGGTCCCACAGATAATCAATTAAATTGGCAAATAGGTACTAAACTCTCAATTTCATTCAAGTTAAGCAAGAAAATTATAATGGTGAATGATTCAATTTAAAAATAAAAAAAATTGTAAAGTAGGCAACTAAGATTTTGAAGTACTCTAAAGTCAAGAAATGATTAGGAAAGCATTCTAGAGTTCTAATCCTTTATTTGCTCCATTGCACTCAACTTACCAATTAAATTGATTTTAATTTCAGTTTTAAAGGTTGGGATACTAGAATTAATCTTGAATATCTTTTGATTATTCAAAATCCTACTTAATTTTAACTCAACAATTTCTTGCTGAAATTAGATTAAGAGCATTAAGTTTAAATCCTTTCTAACCACTTAGGTCCTTTAGGTACATTCCTATCCTAAAAGAAAATTAATCATAGTTAATCCTAAGGATTCAATCCCAATGATCCAAACAGAAATTCCTTTCCTAAGTTCATTCCATTCCTCTAAATTATCACTTAATGGTGGCCAATTATCAAGCAACATAAATGAAAACTAGAATTAAAAAAATAAAAACATCCATTAATCATAAAGTAATCGATAAATCAAGATACAATTGGAACAAATGAGTTCATAGGACTTTAGAGCATCAAGGTTCAGGCACACATAGCTAAATACAATCTCAAAACAACATAATAATGGGACCAAATCATATACATAGGAGAAAGAAGGAGAAACATGAAGAAAAACTTAATGGAAATGTGAATGTGAATGATGATGGGTTATCTTGCTCCCAAGATTCAAAATCGCCCCAAGCTCTCCAAAATCGCCTCTGGACTTTTAGAGAATGTAAGAAATGAAGCCTCCTTCAAAAAATCCTAGTTTCCCTCTTTTATCAAATAGAAAAACTGATGCTATAGGTTTTGTGTAACGGGCTCTATTTTTGGTTTGGAATTTGCCTTATAATACTGACCTGCTGTGGCGGTTACTATAGCGGGAGATCATAACAATTTAATTTTCTCATTAAATTCATTATATTTTTCTTCTTCACCTCTTCCAAGTTCTTGTAGGGCTTCCCAAAATCTAAAATGACTCAAATTAATAAAAGAAAATACTCTAAAACAAAATCAACAAAATCAACAAAATATTTACAGGGCAAGCTAACTAACACCAAAATAAAACAAAAATAACTAGATGACTTTTTAAAGGATTAATAAAACTCTTCAAAATATATAAAAATATAGAGAGTCATCACATGCTTAAAGTCTAATCAATGATAAACTAGGAAATTAGGATTGGTATTGGCGGTCACGGAGTTTGCCTATAATAATTTGGTCAATCGACCTACTGGTACCAGTCTATTTCAAAATATTCAAGGGTATAGCCCCAAATAGCCTATTGACCTCTTAACCTTTCCTCTTATAACCCATACATCTAAATCAGTCGAAGCTTTTACTTATCGCCTTCATAACCTTCATGCTAAGATAGATGTAAGTTAACAATAAGTAATGATATATATAAATTAGCTGCCAACGCATATCACTATTCCCAAGAATTTGATGTTGGAGACTGCATTATGGTTCATATATGTCCAGAGCGCTTCCCAAGAAATTCACTCAAGAAGTTATATGCTCGTGCTTTTGGCCCTTTTCGCATTGCTAAAAAGTTGGGACCCAATGCTTGTTTGTTAGATTTACCTCCAAATATATCTATTAGTCTAGCATTTAATGCCGAGGATCTTGTTCCTTACTGAGGTACTTTTGAGCCACCTTTTTACTCTTTGATGACCTTGCAAGTACACAGCTCCAACCTTGTCCGTTGGAAGGGTCATT